TTTGAAAATTGTAACTAATAAGATTGTAGAGAATCCTTTTGAAAATCAAATTGATATGAAAATTGTAACTGATAAGATTGTAGAGTGAAATTAGGGAGAGACTAAAGGAGTGAAAAAGGGAAGGAAATCATGTGTTAAGGCTGAAATACTTATGTATCCGTTTGACTTGAGAATTGAAAAAAAATAAGGGATTTTGAAAATATTTTGAAATGGTAGAGAATGGTGGAAATTATGGAAAATAAAGATGTGTATATAGGTAATTTATCCATTAAATTTTGTATAAGGAATATGATGTTTGTTAGTAATTAGGAGGTAAATTATTCATATTTTAAATTTATATGATATTTACTTTGCAATTTAGAAATTCATATAACTAATTCATATATAATTTATGAAGGAATTTATGGTATTATTTTATGCATGTGGAATAACTTATCTCTGCCTAACTAAAATTTGGACAAATTAGTACATAGATTCACTTGTAACTAATCAATACATAACTAATATATGCATAACTCTAACCAGATACCAAACGATACTAGTTAATATGGTTTCTAATAGAACTAAAAATTGATACGTCCAAGAGAAACATCCTTTTTGGTTAAGAGGAATGTTCAAACTGAAAAGTTTTCTGTTTTTTTTTGTAAAGAGACTTTAGGTCTCAAATTTGAGTTTCTCTACAAGAGTTATGTATTCGTATTTTGCAAGATTAGAAAACCAAAAGTGCAAATGATATAAAGACTATTCTGAATTAGGGGAATATCAATGTCGTATTAGTTTAGGATTCATACTGTTTTTTGAACTAATAGGAACAGATTTATAAGAAGAAAAAATTATCCGAACTAGCAATCTTGACCCACATATTATTCTTTATAGTGGTATTTTTAAAAAGATGTGTGTTGCACGTGTATGCGTAGTCTTAAGATTCATATAACCATGAAATAGTATCCAAACATCTTCTCCAAAGTTTTATATTAGTACCACCAAGTACTTGGCGCCGAAGCTCTAGATAACTTGTAAGTTGCTAATTGTTGGGAGTTGGGACCCGAATTTATGCCGTCAAAAAAGTCAGGCTACCTTTTAATAGTACCAATTTACTTGTATCCTAATTATCAATAACTAAGTCTACACGATATACTACACCAAAAATAATCTTTAGCGACAATAGCTTAATTGCCGCTAAATATATTTTTAAGTAGCAATTGACACTCTTTTGTTAATGTCACTAAAGCTTATAGTGACATCGAATCCAATGATAATTAACTGCGCTAACAATTTTAACACTCTTTGTTTATATGTATACTTATTGTCACTTAAAATTATTTTTGTAGTAGTGAGAGTAGTAAGTTCTTCAAAATTTGGATGATGATGGTCATCTCTTCTCTTCTTCAATTAAACCTATGAATACAACCAATGTGCTCAATTTGGATGTTAGAGGTACAAAAGGAAAGTAAATATAAAAATATTAATTTCAGGCGTTTTTGTGTTTTAGTGGAAGAAAATAGATTAAAGCAATTTTAAGGACCTTGTGATGCTAGCCGTTTAAACTTAGTGGCAAATCTAAACAGTTTACTGTAGAAAAGGATTAAATGTTCCCTTTGTGGAGAGCGACGTATGTTGTATCCTGTGAGAAGCGTCAGAAGTTAGAATTCCTGAAAAACTTAATGATAGTCACACGATATATGGGGATAGAATAAGATGGAAATGGTTGGGTGCTTCCTGAACTCCTTCGCACAAATAACAGATCAATGTGTACAACGGAGTTAGAGTGGAGGAGGTTACTTCTAGCTTGCTTCGAAAATCCAGCAAAAACTTATTTTGTCAATGCTTCGATATGAATGTGATGTCAAGTCGTTGTTTGTGATAGTTGATCTGCATATTATAAATAAGAGTAGTCTCACCTGTAAAAACATTTAAGAATTGTATGATTCCTACCACAGATTTGACATGACTTAGTATTGTTCCTCTGCTTATTTCTACTTGGAAAACTTTGATTGTTTAGAGAACTTGGTCCATACTGACTATTCTCAGAACTTGTTCGTTGTCCAGGAGACTTGAAGCTTCTCTCTTTGGAGTTGAAGTTGTTGTTTCCTCTTCTCCTACCCTTTGGGCAGAGAATGCCATGTTATGATTTTGTTGTGACACCTTTTCTTCATCTTCCCTTATATCAAAACTCCTAAGAGTATTAACAAATTTATTAAGGGTGGGATATGGTGTCTTACCTAACATGACAGTCTTGAAGGTCTTATATTGAGACTTAATCCTCTAGCAAAATTAATTATTTTGCTATCTTCATCCACAAGTTTGTGAATGGTTGCAAGACCATCACATATACCTTTGAATTTCTTGATGCATTCATTAATCTTTTTGGTTCCTAGCCTAACACTTTGAAACTGTTGTATAAGCTGAAACTCCTTATCTTTTGTTGCTTGAAGATAACCTTATTCCAAGCATTCTCACATTTCCTTGGCAATTGAGCAGCCCACAATCAGGTACATGATTTCTTCTATTAAAGTGACTGAGATCCAACTCTTTAGCAACATATCTTTCTCCTCCTAGTCATCAATGATGCTACTATCTTTAGCATCCTTCTCAACCACTACAACTTTTCCAGTAGTCTATCTAATGAAATAACTACTTTTAGTTGGTTCATTCTTTGTGATGAGATAGGTTAGTCTCATCATTTGAACCAATTGGGATATTTGTGTCCTCCATATGGGGTACTTTATTGGCTTAAGTTTAATGGAGCAAGCGGCAATGAGTTGGTGAAGTGAGGTGGTCGACATAGTGTTGGTAGATGGGGTCACTGCAGTTGAACGTGTATTTTTTTTATCATTACTCAGAGAGCGGAAGAACTTTTAAGCTTTGATACCATGTAGAAATTTCACACCTTAGTATTAGAGAAATCAAGGATTGTATTGATGATTAAAATTGTTGAGTCATGCTCCTTAGTTATACAAGGAGAGAATTGTAAAGACCTAAGTTAGCTATACTTAGAGTTAGGGTTGTTCAAAATCGAACCGAAATCGATAATTCGAACCGATAATTTGGTTATTGGGTCAATGGTTTAACGGTTCGGATCTCGGTTTGACCATATTTCTAATCAGGTGCCCCGATAATCCGATAAGAAGTTTAATTAATTACATTTATATCACTTAAGGCCTTAGGCACTTTTAGCCTTTAGGGTTTACACTTTAGTCTTTAGACTCTAGTTGACACTCAAATTTCACAATAATATTTCAAGTTGAGACATCACTCATTGATTCAATGTCACTGCTCCCACGCCGGCGAGTTATATTGAATATCATTCTCTAAGTGTCTAAATTAAGGTTCAAATGGTTGGTTCCCTTACTTTAAGTCTTTGTTTTTATCTTCTCATTACAGTGAGTGAGTCAGTGAGATATGCTTGCAATACTACAATCTGCAATGAAAAAGTTTTTATTAGTAATGGTCTCATGATCATTAATGATTTTCGTTAGCAGTGTTGTAATGATTTCTCTTTATAGTTCATATCGAAATTGGCTTGGTTGTTATGAGGAATCTTTTTGAGTTTGTCAGTTTGGGAAATATTGACATATCTGTCTAGATTAATATGGATTTTTATTAAGTGTTTTATGTAGTAATGGACATGGATAAGTTCATCAGTGACTAATGGCTACTGTGTACTGTTAATTAGTGACTAGTCCATTAGTAATTCTCAATGAAAATTGTGTGAATTGTTAATGGTTGACCCGATAACCGAACCTATAACGATCACTAACCGATAAATCAATACCGATAAACCGATATCTTAACGGTTTAGCATGATTTCAAACCGATAAATTTCAAAACTGAACCGATTGATATGCAACCCTATTTAGAGTCCTACTACAGCATCTATTACTACTATAATTGTAGAGTCCTAAGTTAGTTATACTTAGAGTCCTTCTACAATAACTATTACTACTATAATCTTAATCGACTTCAGCGACAGCTAGTACAAGAAGTAGCAACCTAGTTAATTCAAACGACCTAATCCTAGAGTGACTCTAACTCCGTTGTACACGTTGATTGGATTAGGTTGTTCAACCTATTTCATATTTTCAATTTCCTTTATCTTCAACACGTATATTTGTTGATTCAAGGAGAATAAACTAATTTAAGGAGTGCCCTGTACATGCTTTTTTGGGTATCAGTTTCAGGTGGGATTTGTTCCATAATAATCATGGTAGCCATTTAGGTCAATTTTTCTTCTTCTGAAAACTGCATAATTTTAATGGACGATACAGGAATATTAATGCCACAATATCAAAGTTGGAAATAGATAAAGTAAAATAGAGATGAAGTGTGGTGAATTTTGGGGTGCAAGATTTCCATCAGTTTGACTGATAAATTATAGAGTATAGCAGAACTTTGACGGGGTATGTATCTTAAGCGGCAGCAATATAGGTGAGCAAATAGATAAAACTTGTACACATTAACATGAGCATAAAACAAGTAGGATGGAACTTACAACTAGCGCTGTCAAGAAGTTTGTAGCGCGAGTTCATGTTTTTAAGATAGCATAGATAGATATAACATAGCGAAATTATGAAATTTTGTAACATATATACAAATTCCTAAAGCAAGAAATTGTAGATCACAATAAACTACTTCTATATATTTACTCTATCAACATGAAAATAGCAGAAAATCACTGGATGGTTCACAATTTGGATGTGTTTGGCGAGCATTCATTTTTTATTTGAATCCAAAATACAACATGATTACTTTTAAGAAAATATTATTGACAGAAAAGACTTTATAGGAGAAATGTGCATTAACGTACAAACTCGAACAAAAAAAAACTCAATTAATTACAAGAACATAGATTAATAAATTCGATTTTTTGGTAAAATGCATTAATCTTGGGTGACAACTGGTAAAGGGGATAGACATCTTCATCAATAAGTCAACTGGTGAAACTATACTGCATGTAAAATGAAAGAGAAGAGGAGCAACTTGGACTAAAAATTATACTCATTACTTTTTTACTTCATTCTGGACATTTACAGAATATCCAACACATTTGATTTTATTTTATTGTGCTTGAATTTGTTTTTTTTTTTTTTTCGTCATCGTCAAGCTTGTGCTGTCAACTAATATCACTTCTGAGACTTGAGTTCTTCTACTCTCTTTTCAGTTTCCCTCAATGCTTTCCCATAGATGCTAATCAACTGAAGAAAAGGAAAATATTTTCACAAAAATTGGTTATCGAACATGAATTCAAAAGCCTACCTCCGATATAAAAGTGAGGCCTCAAAGCAATTTCTGGGGAAAACAAACACATGTATTATATAAATGCAAGCCATAAACACACCTCGTCAAGTTCTTCTGGAGTAACTACAAATGGAGGAGACATCATGATGGTATCACCAGCAACACGTACCAACATGCCATTCTTCTGACATTGCGCTCCAAAATATGCACCAACACCTGAGGCAGCAATGAGACGATTGAATGAGATAAGAGTTTAATGTGACCTTCAATTGAAGAGCAAATGAGGAAAATTACGTACCCCATTCAGGAGGGAAAGGATCATTAGGAGATTTGTTATTCGCAAACTCTGTGGCAAGGATCAAACCAATTCCCCTAATCTACAGGAAAATAAGAGTGAAGAAAATGAATGCCAAAACCTTTTACAAAGTTTTTATCACTTTTATACAAGTGATAAGAGTTCTACCTCTCCGATAATGGGACTGTCAGAAAACGCCTTCAGACCTTCTTGAAACTTTGGGGATATTCTATTTACTCTCTCAACCATATTTCGCTCCCTGAAATAATTTGAACATTTTCCAATCTTCAGCTCTAGCTAAGTACAATAGGTATCAAGCCCATACACTAAAACGCAGAGTTATAAGCAATCATAATACTAAAATAACCATATGCAGGTTGCAATGAGGGTAAAGAATGAAAAGCACATGATCATAAAAGGAAGGAAGTCGGAAGGCAATTCAAGCATACATACTTGTAGATTTTAATAGCTTCCAATGCCACCGCGCATGCAACAGGATGCCCAGAATAAGTGAATCCATGGGAAAAGGAACCTAGTTCCAGAAAAAAAAAATCAGCGCTTCGGCTAAAAGTCAAAGGAAATGATTTTTAATGCTATGAAACAAATCGAATGCTCACCAAGTTTATTGCTTTGAGAATGAATTACATCAGAAACTTCAGGGCTTACAAGGACAGCTCCAATTGGCATATATGCTGAAGAAAGAGCCTGAAAAACAATTCAGGAAGGGAAATTTATACATCCAGACATGAGTTGGTATTAGCTGAGATAGGATGTTGTTTAACATACCTTTGCTAAGGAGACAAGATCAGGTTTGATGTTATACATGTCAGAGCCAAACATTGTTCCAAGCCTCCCAAAGGCACAGATCACCTCATCCGCAATGAAAAGAATGTCATATTTCTTCACTACAGCTTGGATCTTTAAATGAAAAGGAAAAATCGTTGTTTCATTTATGTATATAAGCATAATCTGAAGGAACTAAAGATAGATAACTGCAAAAACTGCCAGAAATAAAAGAAAGGGACTTGTTGCTGCAAGATGTCTTGTGGCTGATGATCCTCATTCTACCCACAAATTTCTCTATGGCTGATGATCCTCATTATACTTCATGGAAAAACCAAATGCAAATATGCTTGGGGTTTACAGACAGAAAGAGGTTACCAGTTACACCCTTCTTTGACAATGACAGTAAGAACAACCTTTTGGTTATGCACTTAAAGAAATAAACTTCAGAGTTTCTTAAATAAATAGCTAATTACCTTCATTCGTTGGCACCAAAACTATAGAACGAACTCTTACATCCTAGATTGAGCATTGCATGCAGCATTCTAAGTAGTAATGCAAAACTATATAGCTTCCTCCTTCTAGAATGAAAAGAACAGACAAAAGGCAAAGAAAACTACCTTATCAAAATAGGTAGCTGGAGGAGGTATGACACCTCCTGCCCCCATGACTGGTTCAGCAATGAAAGCAGCTATCTGAAGTGAAAAAGAAAATTAATCAGGCAAGAAATCACCCACAATACACAAACGGAGTAGCAGGAGTCAAAGTTGACGGAAGTTACTGTTTCAGGCCCCTCTTTGAGGATAAGATCTTCCAAATTTTTTGCCAATCTGGTAGAGAACTCCTCCTCTGTCTCACCTGACATATACATTTCAACAGAAAATGGTTTATTACACCATAAGAAGAGGAGAAAAGTAAGAGTCAGCAAGAATAAGTAACAACCTGGCAGATGATAACGCCAATAATGAGGACAGTCGGTGTGAAGAACAAATGGAGCAGGAAGATCAAAATTTTGATGTAATGCAGGAAGACTACAAAAGAAAGTATTAGCAAACTGATACTTGTAGCATAATAATAAATCTCAGTGATTTTGATTTCGAATGGTGTTTATTATATTACCCAGTGAGACTGGCAGAAATAAGAGTTGAACCATGATATCTGTTACAATGAATGAACAAAAACATTAGTAAGCCTAAGGGAAAAAGCAACCAAAAGAAAAAAATAGATAGAGATTCACAAATTACGCTTTTGCTCGAGCTATAAATTTCTTTTTGTTTGGCCTTCCAAGAGCATTGTTATAATACCAAACCAGCTTTACCTAGATTTGAAGTATAAGGGAAAAAGTTACAAATTATACTCATAAACTTCTTCACATAATCTCCTGCTATTTTTATCAAACGTCAATACAAAAAAAAAAAAAAATCTCAAGCATCTACTGTATTCATTTCATATGCTAACAGAACTAAAACATACAATTTCAAAAAAATTAAAATGTCCCACTCTTTCACTATCCCAAAAACGATGTTCTTCTGATGAATTATCAAGTGTTTTAAGAAAAGAACTGAGATCTAGATTATATAATCAAGTCTTTGAAGGCAATAAGCAAAACCTGGGTATCATTGGCTTCTGATCCACTATTGGTGAAAAAAGCTTTTGCCATTTTCTTTGCAGTAAACATATCCAGAAGCTCCTTCGCAAGATCCTGTATATTTCAAAATGCAATCAGCATGAGATCCAAGAAAAACTTAAAAACCCAAATTTAGGCATCACTTAGTTCTCCTTTTCATGTAAAGACACTGCGAAGTTTTTGCCATACCAAAGAAGGTTTTGTTGTACGGTTCCAAAATGAATGGTAAAACGGCAATGTGTTTAATTGCTTAGTAGCAGCATCAACCAGGCGAGGCTCGTTCCCCCCTACAAGAATATTTAAGTTGGTAAAGCATTGTACATGTGCTCCAAATACATCATAAATAAAAACTCATTGCAAAGTTCCATAGCTGTCAGGAATTAGCCATTGTCTAGGTTTTAAATTGTTCTGTTCTGTATATTTGAGCAATCACATAAAAAAAAGGCCGCTCTAAGGCCTGTCTCCAGTTTATTGACCATGCACTAAACTATCGCAGTTCAACATGGAGACATTCAGCAGTAGATCAAAACAATTCTGCAAGTTCTCGTCGATGGAAATCTTGCAATATATGGTTCAAGCTGTTAGTCTTCAACACATTTCAAATGCAACACATCAGGATAACATAGCAGACATTGATTATTAATAAAATGAAGATACACAACGTTTTCATTAATGAAGTGAACTTCCATTTTTAAAGTAAATTGTTTGGATGTTATAATCATGACGCAAATACTTATTGTCATTACCAAAAAGAATTATGCAGTTAAATTGTGAAAGAAAAACATCTGACATGGCAGAACACTTAAGTGTGTCAATGTGTGACTGGAGATGTTAACCAAACAGAAAAAACATACATGAAAGGCGTATGCATGTTAATATACTTGGAGCTAGAGTTAGTATGCCAAAGACTGAATAAAAGGGATTGAAAGTACCTAGTGCTGTGCACCACAAACCAGCTAGAGTATCAAGATACTTCCTCCCTTGCATGTCATATACGTGGGATCCCTATGTCAAAATGTAAAAGTTGATCACAAAAGATATATAAAGTTCTCTTAAGTTAGACAGCAAAAGTAGACATAAATCTAACCTCAGACTTCTCTATAATCAAAGGATCCACATCAGTACTTTGCCACCCAGCAGTGAAGGGTGCCAACATATCATGACCCTTGAACCTGCAAAAGTGGAGATACATTGTTTTAGTAAAATTCTTCTTACGCTTGTACGTGCAGCTTTTATGTCAAATGAGTGAAATATATTCCACATATGACGAGTAATACTCATGAATAAATGCCATGTCATTTAGCAATGACTGTCCATAAACAAGGAATGCAAAAAAAGAGATCCAGTGGTAGGAAAGTAAAACAGAAATTACCCTTTATTATCAGTTCCAGAAATGTCATTTTCCAAACATGCCTGTGTACTACTATATCTTGCCGGTGTTGATTTAACTATATGCTCCTGTAAACTGCTAACTGCTGGAATACGTTTTGCATGGAAACCAGCCTACAAAACCAGATTAATTAGAACATAAACGACTTAATGGCATATCGCTAAACAAAAACAATGTTGTTTCATGGAAAGAAATTTGCTTAGTCTTCAAAATCTTACACCTAAGAACAAGTCGTTTAGATTGGCTTTCTTTAAGTAGCTTATAAGCTAAAAGTTAAAAATCATAAGTCGGGCATACCCAACTTTTAGCTTTTAGTTTATTTTTATACTTTTTGGCCTAATAATAAGTGTTTAAAAACATTTTGTGTCTTTCCCAAACACCTCAAAAAAAAAAAAAGCTTAAAAGTTAAAAATTACTTAAAATAAGACTTACTTAAAATAAGACGATCCAAACATCTTTAAAGGGGTGGTGCATAGTTCTAAATATATTTAGGTCCAGTTTACCGTGTCAGCTCTTACAAGGAATTTCCCATATACGTCAATAAAATCTTACCTTAACGAAAAACAAGTTACTATGATAGCACAAAATGAAGTTAAAAACACTAGAAAAGCGCCTCAAGAAACTTCACTTCCCCAATTACCCAATATTACATTATGAAATAAGAGTGTCTCCAGAGTGCAGACTGTAAATTCTTATAAAATTGATTGAATGAAATACTCCTAAATCAGCTGTTGAATGGTTTTATTACCAAAATACAGAAGACAGTAAATCAAACACCATGAAAGAGTTAATGATCTTTGGGTTTGTGAGGAAATATCAAGATAGTTTTGTGAGTCAAAATCAATTAGTTTCACTATTCCTCTGTAAAAAGGTGGTCAAGACAAGGCTGGAAAATATCTAAAACAAGTCCAACAAACAACAATATATCGAGTAAAATAGTGTAAGGAGGGTAGAGCGCACGCAAAACATGAACAATAATAAAATAGTGTTGTAGCCCCACAACTTAAGATTTCCTAATTATGAACAAGATAAAAGACCCAAAGCCCAAGTAGAAAACAAAAAACATTTTGAGTTGAAGACAGCTCCTAAAAAAACATAAAAACTGCAAAATTACATGTAAATCTTCTAATAGAGAGATTAACTTATTTTAAGTGATTTAAATTAATATTTTTTATCATCACTTAAATAGACAAAAATAAGTCAAAAACAATAAGTACTCAATTCCAAAAAGGTAACTTTTTATTATAGTAGAAAAGTTTGAGAAGGGCCACACTTCAATTATACCCTAACCTAACAGCTAGACTGCCTGCAACAAGGACCAGAGAGGGAAAACTACACCCTACAGAGCCGAACTCAATATTTTGGTTCAAACTCTATATTTATATTAAAAATTCAATTAAAAATACATAAATTATTAACTTAAAACTCTGTAACTTAAAAAAAAATAAAATCCAAAAAGTCTAAAATCATAACCCAACCCCTCTTTTCTTGATCCTCTTTCAAGAATAGTCAACCTGAGTATAGTATTCAATAAAGGGTCTTTTGGCAGAATTATGCGAATATTACCAACTAGTTATATATAATTTTAACAATTATTTATATATATATATATAACTCTTCAATAACTATGCAGAATTTAATATCTGAACAACTGACACCTACCAAACAACTCCTAGAAAAAGAAAAAAGGTAGCGAAACCTTCAACACAAAACAAAAAGAACCCATAGAAACAAAAAGGAGAAGCAAAAAAGTGAGATTCAACAAAGAAGGTAAACAGAAAAAGAAACAAAACCTGGGCGGTGATAGCTGCTTTGACGGTGGATCTAATAAGACGAGAAATCTTAGCCATTTGATATGATCCTTCGAATCAATTCGTTGCTAAATTGCAAATCAAATATCGTAAAAATAAAACATGCACAGAAAAAAAAGATGAAGGTGCAAATATATATAGAGAAAAACAAGACGTAAGGCAAGAGAGAGAAAAAAAAAATACAATAATAATTAGACGGACTCCAACTCAGTGATGACACCACATCTTATCAGTTGTAATAATCACGAATAAGTCATATAAAAAGCACTACTAACTTCCTCCGTACCATTCAAGTGTCATAATTTGATTTGGATTCCTCTTCCAATTCAAATTTAATTAGGTATAAAATAAAATAAAAATTTTTGAGTTTTTTTATTTTTAAATTAATAGCATATTTACGTATAAATATATAAGTTAAAAAAAATTACTAAATATTACAAACTTAAAAAAAACGTAAAACACTTAATTTGAAAGCACGTAAGGTTGTGCTAATTTTGGGAGAAAGTTATGGTGCGTTGAATTTGGGGTTGCCAATTTGAATACGTAGATTCTATCGTCATGAATAGGCTCTGATTACCCCATCAGAAAAAGAAAGAAAAAAAGTTACTTTATTTTTCATTAAAAAAATTAAATCATTTAAAAACCAATTCAAATTATATAAAATTGGGTTTTTCGGTTTCGGCTTAATCGTTCTTTCGAAAAAAATTTAATTTTTTTTGTTTTTTTTACAATTATAAGGTGATTGAAATAGAGATGAAATATATTTTCACTTACATGTTATAAGTTATACTTTAAAATCATTAAATGAATAAAAGTCTTCGAAAAGACGGTAAAATTCATATGAGTACAAAATACTTTCATTGAAATATCAACGTTCATTGTGTTAAATTTTATAAGATTAAAGACTACGATCAAACTAAATATTGACAAAGTATATTGTTAACTTTGAATTTGAAAACTATGACAAAAATTTACAAGCCCAAATTTAAAGTAATATATCTAAATATTGAAAACTATAAACTACTTTAAAATATATTAACAAAGTAGTTAAAAACCAATGCACGGGTGATATTATTCTTTTTGTTTTACTCTTGAGAGTTATTAATCTTGAAAGTATATTTTTGACCGTCATAGAAAAATTAAGTAATAATCCATATTCATTGGTCAAATTAATAAGCAAAATAAATTAATTCATATTCATTGATTGAAAACTTTACTTTTAAGAGATTACTTAATAAGGATATAATGATAAACTTACATAGTTTCTTAAGAGACGGGAAATAAAAAATGGTGACAGTTAAATGGGAACAAAGAGAGTACTTGTTTACTATTTTAAAAATAAATTTTACTCCCAATTTGTTATTTAACATATTAAAAAATCACAATTTATTTTTTATACTAATTATTTATTTTTAAGATCTAATATTTATTATGAGTATTATGATAAAATATTTATATTAATTATTATTTTTTAATGAACCTACAAAATTCACAGTAGATAAATAAAAGTAAGTGACAGAGGAATTAAAACTCTTACTTTTCAAAAATAAATAGCATTCACGTTGTTCATTCTATGTGATCTTGTTTTCTTAATTGTTTAAAATAAACTAGCACATCTCCAATTTAAATTTGAGATTATTCAAAAACACAAATTAAGTATGAAGATTATAAAATAAATTTTTGATATTAGATTCATAATCAATAAAAGTGTCTTGTAATTTTTGAAGAAATAAAATAAAAAATATTATCGAGTTAAAGCAGTTTATTTATAAGGCCAGATCAATATTAAATGTATAGGCACTTAATAAATCGATACAAACGTGATGACTTGATGAGCATCGTATGATAAAATTATTGTTGTCGATACTTTTTTTCTCCCATAACTTTTTATTTTACTTTTGATGAAAATATTTTAAAAACAAACAAATGTTATGATAGGCTTAAACTTATAATTTAAAATATATATATAACCACGTATCATATATTTAAGATTGCATATTTTAGTAATATTCATTTCTTACTGAAACGTAGTGCTAAATAAAATTACAACATACAATTGAAATAGGTTTTTTGGTCAATAAAAATGGAATATTATGTTTGTGACTAAGCAAAAAGTGGAAAATTCAAGGTAATACAAGTGTATTTTCTCCCTTTTCTCCTTTCAAATATGGACAATGAATTACTAGGTGTATAAGGTGGTTGAAGAAAAATATTATTTTCGTTTTAAAATAATTCATGTTATTAAAATTACTTTTATTAAAAAATTAATAAATAAAATATGTAATTTATTAAATTATTCTTATTTAATAAATGTCTCTTAAAATGTAAACATTATTAAAAAGATGGAGTGTAAAAACATTACTTACCAGATAAACTTGTTAATTTTCGTCTTAAATTCTTAAGATAGTAAGATACCCTTATTTTGGATTTTAAAAAAAATTATTAAAAGGAAACACTTAGAACGGAGGGAATATTTAATAGGTTAATTATTTGACTATAATTTTAGATACATATGAGTTGCCCAAAATTGTGGAAATAAAAGACTATCATCAACTCATGTCATTTCTTGGGTATGATTAATGCCGACAGGTAGGAAAATTATTATGGAAAAGAAATAGTGAACACTTTTTCTGTTTGGCTATAAATATTAAATTGAAAATTGAAAATTTGAGTTTTAATATTGTATTTAAATATATAATTTTATTTTTAATATTTAAATTATCTAAATGAAAGTGTAATTTTTCTTATAAATTGATTAAATTTTATAGTCAAACAGATATTTTAAGCAAAGCGCCAACTTAATTTGACAAACGAGACAATTGAAAATGAAAACAAAAGAAGGAAATAATTTCTTATTGGCCCACCAAAATCTTTTTTTTTTCTAAAAATAATTCTCAAACAAGAATTAAATTTGTGAACAATAGTTAGAGTCAACGACAAACTCAAATTTGAAAATTCTCATGGACCATACTCCAGCAAAATTGTACAAAAATACATGATCCATAATTTTAGCTTATGAATTTTCAATAAAATAAATTAATATGGATCATAATCAAACTTATTGCAAATCAGCCTTTGGGTGTAACAGGGATAGCAAATGAGCGGATTTGGTCAAATTTAAATGAGTTTGAAAGTGAATTAATGTAATAATTTAATTCGTCCATGTTTCATACGAATAAAAATGAATTTAGTAACAAATAGATTGTATAAATACATATTAATCTATATTTATTCATATTTTAAGTAAATAGTACTTTACACTAGAATTAACGGAAAAAATATTATAGTCTTTTTTTAATAAAAAATGTTGAAAATACTTTATTTAGTTTTATTGTACCATAAAACTATATTTGACCTGGCACCTGCTCCGAGATCCAATTTTCGATTTGGGACCTAACCCCGACATTTGAATCGAAATTCCACTCAGACATCCGAATTGGGATCCGATTCAGGAGTCGGCTTTCGAATCAAAAAATGACACCGAAGTTTGATCTCAACGATCAATTTGGGACCCAAACATGACACTCAATTCTTGATCCAAAATTCGACTTCCGATTCGAAATCCGACATTCAAACTATAACCAATCCTAACCTAGATATCGATATCTGACCCCAATGACTGATCCAGGACTCTATACCGACCCAAGTGAATCAGGATCCAACCCCGACATCCGACATGAAACACAACTTCGAATTCAGGACCTAAACCTAACACTCATTTCTGGATCCGACTCAGGATCCGATTGCCAAGAACTATTAAAAGTAGCCAAAATTTGCAAAGTTAGTGCTAAAATGTCCCTTGCATGTTTGGTAAAATGTCTCACAGATTTGCCAATTTTGTTTTGTTTTCTAATTTTGCAATACTTAAAAACAAATTATCTGAACACTATTTCAAAGATGTTATTTAACAACTGATAATAATTGTCACATCCATCAATCCTAATTATATAGCCTTTTATTGGAGTACGCACAAATAATTTATAATTGATATACTTTAATTGTGGAAAGTGGGGCTTGAAAATAGTATCTGAACGTAGCATCACAAATATAAAACTATTGCTTAATATTATTATAATATAAATATGGATATACATAGCTAAAAAGATAAACTACACGTCTAATAAATAGAAAAATAGCAAACTTTCTACTATATCTACTAATAATAATAAATATATGAGTTAAATAACTCATGCAGGCAGGAGAACAGCCTACCTTCTTGTCTTTTATGGAATAATTTTGATATTTTATATATTTGTTGCTTTTAGTGGTATTGTGCTTTAAGGCTCCATAATTATGCTATTTTTAACTTTGGATAAAATTAGCTGGGCAATTTGTAATTTAAAGAAAATGTGGGATCCATTAACTTTTAATTGCAACCTATTTGTTAAGAGAAATGATGTATTGAGATTGACAGCTTGAAAATAGCATGAAGTGATGGTATATTCTTGGCCCATAAAATTGTGACAACATAGAGGAATGCATGTTATGAAGATAAGATATAATTCTTTCTTCGACTAATGATGGTTGTGGAGGAGTGATTATTTTTTTATTTTTTTATTTTTAGTCAGAGATTTTGGATTTGAATTGTTTTGGGTATGAAATTGCATTTGCTAGGGACTGATTTAACCCTAATGTGGGACCTTTTAGCTCGATTTCGAAATTAGTCGGACTTCAATATAGAAATGACTTCAAAATTAATCGAACTTCAATATAAATATTAAACACTGAGTAAAAAATAAAATAAAAAATATGTTATTATAAATGTGCATATTGCAACAGATAAAGAATTCATGTTGCATCAGGAAAGGTTTCTTCTACCTCAATAACTCATACTATGGTATATAAGCTATTGGGGAAATTTAAAGTGGTATAATGCACCGTCATGGTTGAAATAAAAAAGAGGTTAATTGATTTTATGCAACATTGTTGGTTACTCTCTCTCCACTTTTATTTGTTAATTATTTAAAAAATAAATTTTAGTTTTTATCTGTTATTTTTAATATATTAAAAAAATAATTATTATTTTTATATTTTACTTTTATCATTAGTTACTTATTTTTTATTTATTTTTTAAATTATTGGTGTAATATATTACGAATATAATAAATTATCGTTGAAAATAAAATGATAAAAATGAATATTAAACATTAATTAATAAAGATAGTGTAGTAAAATAGTTATGTCAATCAT